GCATTAGCAACAATCCAGACAACATCAGCAGCAGCAGTAACAATATCGACAGCAGCAGTAACACCATCGGCAGTAGCAGAGACAACATCGGCAGCAGCAGAGACAACAACGGCAGTAGCAGAGACAACATCGGCAGCAGCAGAGACAACACAGGCACCAATCGCTGGTTCTTCAATAGCACCGGCCTTCATCGACGACACACCACCGACTCCTGCGCAACAGCTGACTCCCACTCCACGGGAAGTCCACAGAAGCACAAACTTCACCGTAGGTTTCTACTCCAGCTCCAACCTGTACCGACGTTCACCCGGACATCGCGCTGGCGAAGACATCTTGCATGCAAGGATGGGACACCCGAGCAACACAACGTTAAACAACAGGATAAGAGCAAGTGTTCTTGATAAAGACTCACTGCTTCTACACGACGGCAAAGAACTTCAACGAGTCCGCGGAACGTGTTTTACCTGCCCTGAAGCCGACTTACCGCATCAGCCGTTCGTCTCTCACCACAACCCGAGCGCACCAACATACGCACCACTGGAGAAAGTGTACAGCGACATACTGTACAGTCGTGAACCCAAACAAGGAGCCTACAACTACATCATGACGTTCATCGACGCCGCCACACGATATGTCTGGCATCTCAACCTTCCGAGTCGCGACATGACCTTCGAAGCTTTCGTCGCCTGGCTTCCAGTAGCAGAACGGGAATTAGGAGTAAAGCTGAAAAGCTTCCAGTCAGACGAGGGAGGGGAATATCAGTCACAGAGGTTCAAGGACTACCTGGCAGAAAGAGGCATCAAACGGCTCATCTCCCTTCCCTACGCCCATCAACAGCAAGGCGTAGCAGAAGGAATGAACAAGACCCTTCAGAACACCATGCGCAAGCTGCTACGTGGCATGCGGCTACCCAACCACCAGTGGCCCGAAGCAATGGACCATGCCGTGATGCTGCACAACTTGCTCTCGTCATCATCGCTCCCGAACAACGCATCACCGTACCTGCTATGGACAGGAAAATTGGGCAGCACAAAAATGTTGCGAGTGTTCGGCTGCATGGTACAGTACTGACCCCCAACTGCACGAGCCGGCCGATTCTCTCAACGCATACAGTGGGGAGTACACCTGGGCATCGAAAAACACTACAACGCGTGGAAGATATTTACATCCACTCGAAGGAAACAGCAGCAGCACGTGACGTGATTTTCTACAAACGACTCACCTTCCCGACATACCTTGCCAACCTGGAAGAAGAACGAGACCCCACTGGCAGATTTCATGGTGACCGAGCCTTCGCCTCCGCAGCAGACAAAGCCGACTGGGACGAGCAAAATATGGACGGAGCCTTGGAGGAAGCCGGACCTCTTCCGTACTGCTCGGTGGACGTCCCCATGGACGACGACAACCCTCGCGAAAGCATCAATGCCGAAGTCTACTACGACTTCGCCGACAACGGTTACGTTACACCCCAGCAAGTCGACACCAACGTTTCGGAACGTGTAGGCCCCAACTTGTTACCTGATCCAGAAACGGGAGATAAATCACCTTATCCCGAGGACGCAAATCTCCCCCGCTATACACAGAGTGGAGTGCAGATACTGGAACTCATCAGCAGGCTCTGAGGGGGGAACACAGGGAAAAATGGCGCGAAGCCATGGACAAGGAGTTAAAGGCGCTGGAAGAACGCAACACCTGGAAGGTCGTACTCATCGGAGTGGCACGCAACAAGACAATACTCACCGGGAAGTGGGTTTTTCGTGTGAAAACAAAGGCAGATGGAACTATCGACAAATTTAAAATACGCTGGGTCATACGCGGCTTCGACCAAGAGCACTGACGAGACTTCACCAAAACGTTCACGCCGGTCAGCCGACACACGTCACTGCGGATTCTCCTCGCGATAGCTGCCATGAAGCGAAAGAAACGTCGACAAATCGATGTCGCCAACACCTTTCTGTACGCTCCCGTCGACGCAAAAATCTTCGTCGAGCAACCGCACGGCTCAAACGCAGATCCTTATCAAGTCTGTCAGCTGCTGAAGTCCTTATACGGTATCAAACAGGCTCCGAGACTGTGGCAGCAGTACCTTCACACCCGGCTAATACGCATCGGATTACGCCAATTACCGCACGATCAGGGAATGCACCGACTTACGAAAGGTGGTGACTACATCCTTCTCATCGTCTACGTGGACGACTTACTCTACATCGGCTCGACCGACGGCATCACAACTTGGTTCGAAGGGGAGCTACAGAGGAATCTCGCGCTCACCGTCTCGACTACCGTCACGCAGTATCTGGGACTCAACATACAAGAAGAAGAGAGTGCCATCTATCTCAGCGCCGCGAAATACGCCGACACCATCGCCAAGCGCTTCGGACTAACTCTAGCCGCCATCACCACGCCCTATCGCTACACTAACGGAAATCGCAATGAAATCTCCTCTCTGCTCAAACCCGCCGGCATACGCGACTATCAACGAAAGTTGGGATGTTTACTTTTCGCAGCCGTCACCTGCCAACCAGACCTATCGTACTCAGCGAGCCAACTCGCCACCTACCTTAAGAAGCCTGAAGCAGATCACATGGCCAAGCTCGACCGCGCTCTTCACTACCTCGTCAGTACACCAACGATCGGCCTGACCTACTACAAAAACGGAACCCTGACACCTAAGCTAATCGGCTATGTAGACGCCGATCACGCCGGCGACACCAACAACAGGCGCTCGCGCACCGGCTACATCTACCGACTTGATCCTATCGGGCCTATCTCGTGGCAGTCGAGCAAACAGGAACTAATCGCTCTTTCCTCAGCTGAAGCAGAATATATTGCACATTGCTCAGCCACCAAGGAAGGAGTGTACCTTCACGAACTGCTGGAAGAAGCGAAGTTGGCCCAGTACCAACCCAACCCAACCCAACCCAACCCAATCCAACCCAACCCAGCCTGACCCAACCCAATCCAACCCAACCCACCCATCAGGCTCAATTATTCCATCGCGATCATCGCAGACCACGGGCTGAAGCGGCCTCGCTGGAATGAGCCTCCTCCCTTGCCTTCTCTCTCCCCCTTTCCCTCGTTTTCCCCCCTCGTGTTAACCCACCCATCAGGCTCAAGTATTTGATGTTGATAACTGCAGACTTTGAATTGAAGCGGCCCAAGTGATCTGAGCTTCTATCCCTGCCCTCTCTCTCCACCCTACCTCTCTCTCCACCCTACCTCCCGACCCAACCCACCAGGCTCAAGTTTTTGATGGCCTTTATTGCCGACCACGGATTGAAGCGGCCTCAGTTGAAAGAGCTACTTCCCCTCTCTCTCCCCCTTTCCCCCATTCCTTCTTGCTAACCCAACCCACCAGGCTCAAGTATTCAATGGCTATCATTGCCGACCACAGGTTGAAGCGACCTCAGTTCACATCAGCACGGCTCAAGCGGGCCGAAGTGCTGTACCTGGAAACAGTCACGCACAGGTGAGAGCCGGGCATGGAGTAGTGGTGAGGGCAGGGCATGGACTAGTGGTGAGGGCAGGGCATTCATAGGTGGATTATGGGGTGCCTTAGAGGAAGCCTCAGTTTACTTGCTCAAGTGGGCCCAAGTGCTGTATTTGGAAACTGCCACGCACAAATGAGGGAGAGAAGGACAGTTTCGATCTGAAGCGCCTTAGAGGTAGCCGTCGTGGTTTTCGAGGCGCCTTTTTCAATTAGCGGCCTCAGCAGTACACATCAGCAACTCCAGTCAATCGTGTTTCCCACGTCTCACATCTCACTTCTCACATCTCACAACCCCTCCTGAAATGAGGGTGTTTCTGTTGAGACGCCTCAAAAACACCCTCATTTCACGTGGCGTCAGTACATATCAGCAACTCCAAGCGATCGTGTATCCCACATCTCACATCTCAAAACCCCTTCCTTTCCTCGCCCCAACCTCTCAATTTTAGTTGAGCTAAGAGCCCGTGTCGGCTCACAAGATCTTTCAATCTGTAGCGAATTTCCAGGCCCAGCAGCAGCAGCAGCAGCAGCAGCAGCAGCAGCAGCAGCAGCAGACACAGCTCTGCATGCACACTCACACTCTCTCTCCCCTAATCTGCAGCAGCAGTAGCAGCAGCAGCAGCAGACACAGCTCCACATTGCTACCCTTACCCGCATACACACTCACACTCTCCCTCCACTGCCTCCTCTCCACTCCACACCCTTGCATGTTTGAGTTGAGCTACGAGCGTGTGTCCGCTAGCAAGGTAATCTACTCTGTAGCACTTTCCCAGGCCCAGCAGCAGCCGCAGCAGCAAACACAGCTCCTCACTGCTGCTGTAACTCACATGCACACTCACACGCTCCCTCCCCTGCCTCCTCTCCACACCCTTGCAGGTTTGAGTTGAGCTACGAGCCTGTGTCAGCACGCAAGGTCTTCTACTCTATAGCGCTTTCCCAAGCCCAGCAGCAGCAGCAGATGCAAGCCCACACTATGCCACTTGATGCTGCTAATGCCAAGGCTGATGGGGCTGCTGTTGCTGCTGGTGATGGTGGTGCTGCTGCGGATGCTGGTGCTGCTGGTGTGGTGAGGGAGGGAGGGGTAGATGCTGGAGGTGACCAAGAGGGGCAAGGTGGGGGACTGGGAGAGAGGAACGAAAGAGAGAAGGGGGTAGCAGAGGAGGGAGAGGGAGCCGAGGGGTCTGATAAGGGAGCGAAGTAGAAGCAAGGGGAGGGAGGGTCAGAGAGCAAAGCAGCAGACGGGGAAGGGAAAGAGCACCCAGAAGCACCAGCTCACCCCCCTTCCAAGGCACACAAGAGCAGCACTGCAGCAGCTGATGCTGCAAACGCTAACTCTCCCAACACAAACAGCACCTCTGCTGCCCCCTCTTCAGCAGCAGGAACAGCAGCAGGGGGCAGTCTGAGTGGCCCGAAACGACCCTTCTCTCTCTTCTCCTCTCCTCCCGGGGTCCTAAGCACCACCAGCACCACTTCTGAAACCCAGTGGGTGCTGCCTCAGATTGCGTTAGCGCACATGCATGGGAAGGGAAAGGGGCCGAGAGACACGTACCAATGGACCCAGTGCGTTCCTCCTCTCCCTCTTGATCAACTCCGCTCCCACGGCTGCCCTCTCCCCACCGCTTTCACCAAGGTACGCCCTTTAAGGTCTCAGTGGGCTCTGCTGCCTCAGAGTGCGTTGGTCCACGTGCATGGGAAAGGAAAGGGGTCGAGAGACACGTACCGGTGGACCCAGTGCGTTCCGCCCCTCCCTCTTGACCAGCTTCGCTCCCACGGCTGCCCTCTCCCTGCCGCCTTCACCAAGCCCTTAGAGTCCCAGCTTGTTGTGCCTCAATCAAAGTGCGTCGGCCCAAGTGCATGGGAAGGGCAAGGGGCCGAGAGACACGTATCGCTGGACCCAGTGTGTTCCTCCTCTCCCTCTCGACCAACTCCGTTCCCACGGCTGCCCTCACCCTGCTGCCTTCACCAAGGTACGCCTCTAGAAATTATGGCACCAGCAGCACCACTCCTTGGAGCCAGTGGGTTCTGCCTCAAAGTGTATCAGCCCAAGTGCATGGGAAGGGCAAGGGGCCGAGAGACACGTACCGATGGATTCAGTGTGTTCCGCCTCTCCTCTCGACCAACTCTCCTCACTCATCTGCCGTTGCTCTTGCTCTTGCGCTCTTGCTCTCTTGCTCTCTTGCTCTCTTGCTCTTACCCCCTTGGTCTGTTTCAGGTCCTCAAGGGTGCCTTCTGTTCTGAGGCGCCTCAAAGGGCATCTGGGGGCTGCGTGGCCTCTCATCTGCCCTGGTTCTTGCTCTTCCCACATTCCTTCTCCTGTTTCAGATCCTCGAAAGTGGTCTGGCGCGGGACGAGGTGCAGTGGGCATCTAGAGGGGTGTGTGGATGCATCTGGGGGCTGCTGTGTCCCCCATCTGCCCTTGCTCTTGCTCTTCCTGTACAACCTTCATCTGTTTCAGATCCTTGAGTCTAGCCTGGCATGGGACGAGGTGCACTGGGCGCCAGGGGGAGTGTGGGTGCGCCTGGTAACCGCATGGCAATCACCCATTTGACATTGTCCTTCCCTTCCTGTGCCGTCCCTCTCATGTTTCAGATCCTCGAGTCCAGCCTGGCATGGGACGAGGTGCACTGGGCGCCAGGGGGAGTGTGGGTGCGCCTGGTAACCGCATGGCAATCACCCATTTGACATTGTCCTTCCCTTCCTGTGCCGTCCCTCTCATGTTTCAGATCCTCGAGTCCAGCCTAGCATGGGACGAGGTGCAGTGGGCGCCAGGGGGGGTGTGGGTGAGGGGGCTGCACTACCCCGTCGTTAGGGCCCACTTCATGCCCCGCAAATCATTCTCCTCGCATTAGCTCCTTCGGTCGCTGTTACATGGTATTTTGATGTCCTCGCAGTGTATGTGTGCCCTGGGCTCCAATACCCTGTGGTCATTAGTTGTTTGTGAGACGTCTCAAAACAACACTTTTATCAGTGTGTGTGTGCCCTGGGCTCCAATACCCTGTGGTCATTAGTTGTTTGTGAGACGTCTCAAAACAACACTTTTATCAGTGTATGTGTGCCCTGGGCTCCAATACCCTGTGGTCATTAGTTGTTTGTGAGACGTCTCAAAACAACACTTCTATCAGGGCAAAACAACACTTCTATCAGTGTATGTGTGCCCTGGGCTCCAATACCCTGAGGTCATTAGTTGTTTGTGAGACGTCGCAAAACAACACTTCTATCAGTGTATGTGTGCCCTGGGCTCCAATACCCTGAGGTCATTAGTTGTTTGTGAGACGTCTCAAAACAACACTTCTATCAGTGTATGTGTGCCCTGGGCTCCAATACCCTGTGGTCATTAGTTGTTTGTGAGACGTCTCAAAACAACACTTCTATCAGTGTATGTGTGCCCTGGGCTCCAATACCCTGTGGTCATTAGTTGTTTGTGAGACGTCTCAAAACAACACTTCTATCAGTGTATGTGTGCCCTGGGCTCCAATACCCTGTGGTCATTAGTTGTTTGTGAGACGTCTCAAAACAACACTTCTATCAGTGTATGTGTGCCCTGGGCTCCAATACCCTGTGGTCATTAGTTGTTTGTGAGACGTCGCAAAACAACACTTCTATCAGTGTATGTGTGCCCTGGGCTCCAATACCCTGTGGTCATTAGTTGTTTGTGAGACGTCTCAAAACAACACTTCTATCAGTGAATGTGTGCCCTGGGCTCCAATACCCTGTGGTCATTAGTTGTTTGTGAGACGTCTCAAAACAACACTTCTATCAGTGTATGTGTGCCCTGGGCTCCAATACCCTGAGGTCATTAGTTGTTTGTGAGACGTCTCAAAACAACACTTCTATCAGTGTATGTGTGCCCTGGGCTCCAATACCCTGTGGTCATTAGTTGTTTGTGAGACGTCTCAAAACAACACTTCTATCAGTGTATGTGTGCCCTGGGCTCCAATACCCTGTGGTCATTAGTTGTTTTTGAGACGTCTCAAAACAACACTTCTATCAGTGTATGTGTGCCCTGGGCTCCAATACCCTGAGGTCATTAGTTGTTTGTGAGACGTCTCAAAACAAGACTTCTATCAGTGTATGTGTGCCCTGGGCTCCAATACCCTGTGGTCATTAGTTGTTTTTGAGACGTCTCAAAACAACACTTCTATCAGTGTATGTGTGCCCTGGGCTCCAATACCCTGTGGTCATTAGTTGTTTGTGAGACGTCGCAAAACAATACTTCTATCAGTGTATGTGTGCCCTGGGCTCCAATACCCTGTGGTCATTAGGACCCACTTCATGCCTCGCAAGTCCTCCTCCTCTCGTTACAACTCTTGAAAGTGGCTTAGCGTGGAACGAGGTGCAATGGGCGCCAGGGGGGGTGTAGGTGAGGGGGGGGCTACCAGTACACTACCCTGTTTGTCAGGGCCCACTTCACGCCTCGCAAATCCTTCTCCTCGCGTTAGCTCCTTCTGTCGCTGTTACAAGTGTTTTGGTGTACACACTGCAGATATTCGTATGTGCTATATATGTGTGCCCTGGGCTACACTACCCCGTCGTATACCGTGCTCATCCCATTGCTCGCAAATCCTTCTCCTCACGATATGCCGGATGTGTGCTCTAATCTTCAGTACCCTGTGGTCATTAGGGCCCACTTCATGCCCCAAAATCCATTTCCTCTCGCCAAGTCCCGCTGACGCTGTTGAGGGTGCTCCAGTGTACTTGCTAGACATGCAAACTCCTGAGCTGCATTACCCAAAGTTTTACGAACCAAATCATACCAAATCATTTCCCTTACACTAATTTTTGCTCAATTGGTGCATGACGCACGTAGAAAGCATCTGCTCTTTACCTTGTTGAATACACTGATCTGAAACTAGTGAGCTTATTATCCTGAAAGGACACCACACTATCAAACACGTGGTATGGTATGACACAGATTGAGGACTCCATCCAAATACCGAAGCCCCTCTCAATGCGAATCAATGACACATAACATCTTTATGTCCCAAACCATACATATCAATCTACTCAAATGAGCAGTTAATCCCAATCAAGCACCCAAACCAGCCTACTACCACACCGTACCACCACTCCACCACCCAACTACTACTAACAACCCCCTAACCTACCCTCCCAACTATCACGGTGCTGCAAATGGGACAGGCACAGGCCACTCCAGCAGGAAATAGGCTACTTCCCCCACTCCAGCCCAAGAAGCTACTCCCTCCCTCTTAGGCACATTTTCATGAACCATCAACCGGGCTTCGCATGAAACGTCAGCGAGGTCACATGATGAACCATCAGCAGAGCAACGGGCGGCTGTCAGTTAACAACGCTGCAGGAGCGGCGAATCTCGCCCTGCTGGCCTGTGAGCACGCCGAACGCGCCCATGCGAAGCATGGAGAGGTGGAAGTGGCGGAAGAAAGCCTTCTTGTCCGCCGCGAATTGGTCCACTAGTTCCTTGGTGCGCGGATCGATCGCCAGCACCTGGTCGCTCGTCAGCAGCCCGAACTTGCGCTGAAGATGCTTGAAATACTGCGGTGTGTGGAGGATATGAGAGGGAAGAGTCAATTCAACAGGGTATAAGACTGGAATCTCTATTTGGAATTCCAAGTTTGGAATCGAGAATTCTGAAGATTGGCCTCGGCAAACAATTTTTCAAGCGGAGCGTGGATGCAAAAAATAGATATGTGGCGCAGATATTGAGGGAATACGAGTCAGTAGCTTTTCCTGATGGGTTCAAGAGGTTTGCTTACGTGGTTGTCGAATCGCGCCGCGCTATGGATGTCGAGAACCATGGAGACCTTGCTACTGACGTTAGGAGCCCTGCAATGACTCTTGAGAAACTTGCGCATCGGCCTCGCGAGCGTGTTGTCGCGGTTCGGCGCGAGACGGTGCGCGACTTTGTCGCAGCCCGACTCGCCGATGGTGTGCGCGCCAGAGAGCGCCACGAGGTCGCCGAGGGTGAGGTTGACGGCGGCGAAGTTTCCGAGAAGCTCGTTGACGTTCGTCTGGTGGCCCGGCAGAAGCTTCACCGCGAGAGCTGCCTTCGAGGAGCGCGAATCGCGGCGCCCAAGCTGTGCTCTCATGTACGGGCCGCCCGCCTGCATTAGGCAGGATTGGTACGTCACGTTCGTCCTTTCCCGTAATAATTACAGGTCTCGGAAAAGAATCCAGGCCGTCAATGGTTCAATTTGAACACAATCATTTGTTTTACTAAGAATCATTGTCCGTGCAATGCGCTGCTTACCAGATGGACGCCATCGCGGGCGGCGAGAGTGACGATGTCGGCGCAGCTGACAACGCCAGGACACTTGGCCTCAAGTGCCACCTTGATGCGATCGATAATTTCGAATCCGTGGAGTGACAAATTGGGCTCTGCGTCTTTCTCTGCCTTGTTGCCTGGTGTGGAATTCAGTAGCACGGAGCCATCGCAACCCTGCGGCGCATGGACGAGGGACGAAAACAAGGCGAATGATCAGGAATGCGAAATTGTAGGCGAAGTCTGCTTGAATGAAGCACAGCTTCTCTGCAAGCGAAAGTATTGGCGAACAACGTTGTACCTGAACGAAGCAGTCGTGGAAGGCCAGGCGAAGAAGTGGGGCAGGGGCAAATATATCTTTGCGACATTCGTCAAGGACAATTTCGCGAACGATTGCCTCCAGGTGCGGGCACGAGTCCTTGTAGTACAACCTGCTCAATGGCTTCGCATCCCCAACCTGGACAGGCAGCAACTGGCATGTTGCAGTGACGACAAGCAGCAGAAGCACCGATGACAAAGCACGAGCCATTACAGAAAGCGACAGGCGTGTGTTACGGAGAAGGATGATGATGATTTTTGCACGAAAACGACTGGATATTGTTTCAATCTAGCGCCGGTTTTGTACACATGGCGGCGCGGGTCTCGTCGAAGCAGCTGCGCCCATATTGACACGTGTACAGTAGCAGCTGGTTTTGTGGTGGTGGTTGGGGCTCGTACATACGAAGCCACGCTGGAGCGGCTCGGAGGTTCTTACAGCGCTTGGTTTTCTCTTGCCCGCGACTAGATTGCAAGCTCTCTAAATCTTTCAACTCACCCATTTTTTTAACCCAGATCGAAATGGACAGCAAATCGATATGCAGGCACCCTCAGCAGCAAATCAGGCAGTGCACGCACAGCCAGAGCATAAGGGTGTGGGCCCAATCGAGTTTGATCGCAATTGATCTGATCGGGTCGGATCTGATCGGGTTGCTTGTGATCGCAGTGCCCGAGCCGCCCGATCAGAGATGTTTTTCGAAGAAGATTTCCAGCGCCTGCGGAGCAAGCGCTGTACATTTACGTCGCAATTTCGTCCCCATTCTAGCGATATTGGCGAAAACTTTACCTGGCGAAAGTTTTCGTTTCCCTGTAATTTAACAGCGTCGCTGTGGGCCCCGATCACATGCAATCAGGTGGTCGCCTGTGATCGAGGAAAATCGACTTTGATCGGGGTGAAAATCGGGTCTGATTGAGTTGGGGCGATCAGTTGATCGCGATGAGCTGATTGCCCCTGATTGCATAAAATTGGCTTCCAGGCTTCCTAGAAATTGTTGATCGCATGTGATCGAGGCGATCAAACTCGATTGGGCCCACGCCCTAAAATGATGTAATACAGGTTGTCCCTTCATGGCGAGCCGAAAATCTTGTGAGCTCAAGCCCGTCTTGAAATAAAACATAATAATCACTGTAAGGAATTTTACATATTTTTTGTGCAGCTGACATTGTAATGCTTCACATAATTGTAGCAAACAAAAATGCTAGATTCCTGGGCAGGCAGCGCCACGAATGCTGCATCGAAAACTTTCTGCACTCCACCATGGCTTAGGACGTGGTACAGATCGCTCCGATCTCACGCAATCGGTGGTCGATTGGATCAGATCGGAATCGATTGGGTGTGATTGCCCCGACCTGACGCAATCATCGATCGCAGCCCGCGCCGCGCGATCCGACGCATGTTTTTCTACGAAACAAGGAACCTCAGCCGCGCCTTCTAGGCGAGCTGTATGTTCCTTCCACCTCGAAGTTGGCGAAACTAAGCGACCATTTGTATCGTACAATTACAGGGTAGCCCCATTACTAGTTCGGCTGTCAAGAGATGTTCTGTAGCATCGAGCAAAAGCGAACCTCAATTACTGTAGTTACAATTCGCGTAAATTCGCCAACATACCCAATCTATCGATCGCAATCGGTTGCAATCAATTGCATCAGATCGAGGCAATCGATCGCGATCGATTGCAATCTCGATCGCGATCGACAGATTGCCCCCGATTGCCCAAAAGTACCCTTTGGACCTTCTTGGAATTTGTGGATTGCGAGATCGAGGCAGTTAGCCTCCGATCGCCCCGATCTGCAACGTCCTGATCTAAATGAATAACTTCCTTTTGTTGAGCTCCTGCCCACGTATTTTGTGTTCGTGTGGTCCTTGATATGATTTTGCACTCACCTGCCCGTCCGTCACAAACCGTCTTTTCTGATGGGGAGGGGACCTGTCAAGTTGCCATGAGCAAAACCTTCTTATTGGCCAAGGGTTCCTTCTTCTTGACGGCAGTTCTGGACCAGGGAAGGCTGTATCGCGTGGTGCACCCCCAAACCAGAACTTGACATCTCGATGCGCGCTAGGTACGTGAAAGTATATTTGAACCGCAATGACTTGTGATAAAAACTATGGATGTGTAAAGCCATTCTATAATCCAAAATGAATGTGACTAGCTCTATTTGGGGTTGAGGAGTATATGAGATATAATGCCAACTAGTCACTGGGTCAAAAGAAGTTATATCTGAAGAGCATAGAATGCCTTCCAACCCTTCCGTGTAGGCCCTCAAGCGTTACATATGAACTCTCTTGAGATCCTGCATGATATCCAGTTTCCGGGTAAATATCTCCTCAAATCTAGCAGATGGCAGAGCATGGTTGCAAGAATGGTGCTTTGAAAAAAGGTGCCTATGGCCTCAGATTCGTTTTTGCCTAGGCTGAAAAAATAGGGTTTGTACAAAATGTTTTGCTGAAAATAAGACAAATCAGCCATTTTAAGTCATTTTACATACACCACAATACTAATAAAAAAATTCATGTTCCTTTTCAACAAATTGCTGAAATACCAGCCTCACTCCTATAAAAGGTCTGAAATCTCAGCCCTTATTACCTAAATCAACCTTTTTTCACTGACTTCCGAGGCCCGCCTATACTTCCATCTCTACTTCAAGGTTGGTTCATATGTGTTGGGGGGAGGCAGGGCTGACGTTTCACTTTAAGGCTCCCGTATTCCGGGAATTTTTTTTCCCCTGTATTATGAGTGCATATTGTTCAGGAGATTGCCACCCTGATGGCTCAGGGTTCAACAACTAGTTTCTCTGATTTGTCAGGGTTGAGAGCCTGAATTCAGGGTCCGGGTTCAAATCTCACTTGATTGATCACAGCAACGTACAGCATGTAAAACATTTCACCCTACATTGTCTACACTAGTGCACAGGCCTATCGTTGTGGAACACTTCCTCCACATCCCCATCGTCCGAAAAGAAAGGGTTGTCCTCCTCCTCCTCCTCCTCCTCCTCCCCCACAAGCTCCTGATCATCGCCCAGGACCTGTTCCAAATCCTCCTCCTCCTCCTCCTCCTTCTCCTCCTCCTCCTCCTCCTCCTCCTCCTCCTCCTCCTCCTCCTCCTCCTCCTCCTCCCCGTCGTTCTGCCCGCCAGCTACTGCTACTTCGCCCTCCTTCATTTTCCCCCTCCTTCCACGCTCAGCCACAGCAAGCTTCACGCTCTTCGCGGGGCGCCTCCGCTCATAGACCTCCAGACCTCTGTTAGAGACTAAGGACGGAGTCTATGAAGATTAGGTGCCTAAATTTCTCAAAATCGTTGGTCCCTATTTCTGGACAGAATAGTTGCGCTCACAAGAAACGCCGTCGACGAAAAGTGCACAGTCAAAACTTCACTAAACTCATATATGTTGTAGCCCTACTCCGTGGCTACAATTCCCAAGTTAAAACGTATCAAGAGGTGAAGTAAATCTCGACTTATCAATTTCGGCGCACAGGGGGGTATGCTGCCATAAGAACTTAACTCAATCACAAAGTTCACACAAGTTCACACAAGAGAATTAGAGTAGCACTAAACCAGGTGGAAGGGATAAGGAGGACGAGAGGGAAGGTCCCAAGAGAGTCCCCAACCAAGGAAACCCCATGCCATACAGTTCCCTTCCCCATAGGCAACCCAACTTTGACCTTTGTCACTATCCCAACCTCCACAATCCACCTCAACCCAACTTGGCCACACTTGCCAACCTGGTTTGGTTTCTCCCAACCATTTGGCAGCAACTACAGTAGAAAAGACGAATTTCCCAACCCCCAAAAGTCTGTACCCCATATTGAGTCAACCCCACAACTTCCCATAGTCACCACAACCAAATATCAGAAGCATACGAACTCCAACGTTCGTAACTTTCTAGTTCGTGCTCCGATTGAAGCGATACTTGGTTCCTCGGAAAGCTCTTGAGCAGAGGAGTCACTTCAGATATCTGCTCAAGCCAAATAACATTCACACACACACTCAGAAGAACCAAACCGCACAAAACACAAATTCTTGCACGCACTCACAACACGCATGCAACGCACGAACATATGATGGGAGGCAGACAGACGTGAATGCGAATGGTAGCATCACTCAACAAACTCCCCCTCTGGCTGCCAACCATCATCCCACATGCCATAGCTCAAGCATGCATCCTCAATTCACACTCATCCCAGCAAGCTTCATGCCCTTCCAATGCTCAGATTCAGCCAGGCGCTTGGTGAGAATGTCAGCCGCCTGCTGATGGGTCTTCACAATCTCCAGCCGCACCTCCTTGTCCAGGAGCCTCCTCACCCAGTGCCACTTAGGCCTGATGTGTTTGGTCAGCCCATGAAGACAAGCATTCTTCGCTAGCTTCACCGCCGACTCATTGTCACAGAAAATCACAGTCGGCTCCCTCTGACCAACTCCAATCTCCTCCAACAAACGCCTCAGCCACACCACCTCCTTTGCCCCATGATGCAGGGCCATGTACTCTGTCTCACACGAGGACTGCCCCACCTCATTCTGCTTCTTACTGCGCCAGCTCACTGCACCACCTCCGAACAGGCACACATAGCCTCCAATGCTGGTGCCATCCGCTTTCACCAAGTTGAAGCTAGCGTCAGTGTAGCAGGTCAGGAGCATCTCCCCCTTGCTCAAATCAGCTGCACTCCTCTGCAGCCTCTGCCTCACAGCACTGTACTCCAAACCCACTGATGTCGTTGCACTCACATAGCGGACCAACCTCTTGGCCGCTTCCAGCTGCTCATGACTGGGGCGTGAAACCACACTGGCAAGCCTGGATGTTGTAAAGGCAATGTCAGGCCGTGTGTGGTTAGCCGCATAGTTGAGTGCCCCAACCATGGAATGAAAAAGTTTCCTGTCACTCTCACCCACCACCTCCTCATCAGCACAGGGCTCCACAGTGAACCCCGAAGGCAGTGGGGTGGCTGGCTTTCCTCCATCTTGCAGCCCATACTTCTCAGCCAGCCCCTCACAATACTTTCTCTGGTGCAACCTCAACACTCCCTTGTCAAGGTCCCTCTCCACATGCATCCCTAAATAGTACTTCACATCTCCCATCTTGGAGCACTTAAACTGCATCTCCAGCATCTCCTCCACATGCTCAATCATTGCAGACGACTCAGAGAAGAGCAGGATGTCATCCACATACACCAGGAGCATGAGAAACTGCTCCTTCTCCTGCAGCAGGAACAAGCTGTGATCACACTCACTCTTCTTGAAACCCCCAGCCAGCAGAGTCTCCTCTAACTTGTGGTACCATGCACGAGGAGCCTGCTTCAGGCCATAGATGGCCTTCTTCAGCCTGCACACTCTGCCGCTCCCATCATCCAAACCCTCAGGCTGTAACATGTACAGCTCCTCCAGAATGATCCCATTGAGGAAGGCGGTGGTGATGTCCATCTGCTTCACCCGCCATCCACGGTTTGCTGCCATTGCCAATGACACCCGAAGTGTTGTGCCTTTCCCCACAGGAGCATAGAGCTCGTTGAAGTCCTTTCCCTTTGTCTGCTGAAACCTCTTAGCCACAAGCCTTGACTTGTAGCGGGTCAGCGCCCCATCAGGTCCGTACTTGTGCCTGAAAATCAGCTTGGAAGAAATGGCCTTCTTCCCGGGTGGCAGCTCACACAGCTCCCACGTCTCATTCTCTAGCAGAGAATCATACTCCTCCTTCACACTCTGCTTCCACTTTTCAGCATCGGGCCCGCTCAATGCCTCAGCTAGCGTCTTGGGCTCAGGGACGGCTGCCCAGTAGCAGTGTGCTATCTCATCCTCATCACACTGCTCAGCCACACTCCCAGCCCTTACCACCTTTGGCTTGCCACGGCTTGCATAGGTCAGCCTGTTAGGAGGGCGCACATCCCTCCTAGGACGGTCAGCCGTACGTCCGGCACCTTGTGGAGCACCTTGCTCCTCCTGCTGCTGCGGCTGCTGCTGCTGTTGCTGCTGCTGCTGCTCCTCCACCTCAGGTTCTCCCCCATCCTCTGTCACCCCAGAGATCTCATTCTCAGAGACAGAAACCTCCACTTGCCTTGAAGGCCGCTGCACCTCATCGGCCTCGACAATTAGCGGTGTCGTTGGAAGCTTCTGCTGTTGCTGCTGCTTCCACTCCTTGTAGTACAAGGACTCAAGGAACTTCACATCCCTTGACACAGTCAGCTGCTGGCTGGTCAAGTCCCAAATCAGCCAGCCCTTGTGATCCTTAGCAAGCCCCAAGTGCACACCCCATCTCCCAGAAGCTTCCAGTTTTCCCCTCTTCTCCTTAGGCACATGAAACACTACCATGCACCCAAAGGCTCTCAGCATGTTCACAGCTGGTGCAATCCCATACCACTTGGTGTAGGGGACCCACTGCTTGTCCCCCACAGTCGCCAGCACCCTGTTCTTCACAACAACGACCTGCCGCAGTGCTGTCACCCAAAACGGATCCGGCAGCCCTGCACGCCCAAGGAGAGTGCGAGCACCTTCCTGCAGGGTCCGGTTGAACCGCTCAGCCACGCCATTCTGCTGAGGGTTGTATGGCACTGTGAGCTGATGCTGGATCCCCTTCCGCTTCAGCTCCTTCTCAAAATCAGCGCCGATGAACTCTCCTCCGTTGTCAGTGCGGATCACCTTCACCTTGTGTCCGCTTTCCCTTTGTGCTCTCGGCATCCACTCCTTAAGAACAGCCGCTGCCACCTCCCCCTTAGTCTTGAGAGGGTACACCCACACCGCACGCGTGTGGTCGTCCACAATCGTCAAGAAGTAGCGGCTGCCCGAGAGAGAAAGGGCCCTCGTGGGGCCCACCACATCCATGTGCACTAGTGCAAGTGGTGCCTTGGCTGGTCCTGTGCTGCTGCTGAAGGGAAACTTCGTGAATTTGGTCTCAAGGCAGGTAGGGCAGCTCCCAATCTCCTTTGCTCCCCCCTTCACCTCCAGCCCCTTCAAGCACCATAGGAATGTTCACATGGCACAGCCTCTCATGCCACGTCTCCCAATCAGCCTCACCACTCCCAGATGAAGCCTTTGCCCATGCAGCTGTCGCATCCACACCAGCAAGCACCTCACCATGTGGCTGTTGTGGCTGCTGCACCTTCTTGACTGCATCCAGGGCCCCAGCAGTTGGTGCATTCTCCTCTCCTCCCGCAGTTGCTTTAGCCGCTGCTGCTGCCTTTGCCGTTGCTGGTGGTTTCCCCTTCCAAGGGATGATGGGCAGCTGCCACAAGTCCTTGATGCAGCTGCTCTTCTCCTCCAAGTTCCACAGCAGCAACTTCCCAAGCTTTGCACGGCAGCTGGTTGGGCCGAAGGTAACTTCAGCCTTGCTCTTCTGCAGCCGGCGCACAGAAAGAAGGTTAGCGGACAAACCTTCAACCAACAGCACATTCCCAAGCCCCACAAGCTCTCCATTGGCTCCCATCACCTTGGCATTCCCAACACCAATCACAAGGAGCAAAGCACCTGAAGCGGCAGCCACAAACTTGATCTTCCCAGGAGGTTTTACCTCATCAAGCAAATCTGCCCGTGGGGTCATATGACTCGTGCAACCTGAATCGATCACCCAGTGAGTGAGGGGGTGCATCACAACCTTCCCAACTGAACCCACATCACCCCCACTCCCTTGCACATCCTCAACCATGAGGAACATCCCAGGGTCGGCTTTACCTTGTGCACCATCACCTTGTGCACCTGAACCTTGCACAGCGCCACCGCGTGCACGTTCACCACTTGGCGGCTTCATGCCTGGAGGGGCCCATTCCTCAGGCCGGCTGAAACACTTGAACCACGGGTGTCCAGCCTTCTTGCAGTACCAGCACGCACCCTCCATTCGGGTGCTCCCCCTGCCACCAGAGCTCCCATGCCCCTCATTGTAGTCACCTCGGCCTCTCCCTCTGCCAAAGCCTCTCCCACGGCCTCGGCCTCTCCCTCCCCCTCTTCCTCTGCTGCCTCCTGCAGCTCCATACCCCTCAGTAGTTTTGTTGGCAGCACCACCTCCCGTGTGGCGTCTGCGGAAGTCCTCCTACAGAATCTGCTGCCGTAGCCACTCAGGCGTCCATTTGTCCTGCTGAACGTTGAGGGTGGGGATGAGGTTGTCCCACGAGTTGTCGAGCACCGAGATGATCTTGGTGCACTGTTGCATCTGCGACACTTCGCTGCCCGCCGCTGCCATCCTCGCATAGGTGTCCTTGATCTTGTCAAGGACCGGTTTCACATCATCTCCCGGTTTCATGGAGAGGGCAGCCAACTCCTTCTCCAACACAATCACCATCGGCAGCGTGTTGGGCTGAATCACGTCGCGTAGCAGCTTCCATGCCTTCGGTCCGGAATCATCCAACTCCACCAAATCCTTGATGTGCTGGAACATGTCGTTGTTGACCGATTGGAGGATGAGGTCGTACAGCACCGCGCTCTTCTCAATCCACCGATTGCGGGCATCTCCTTCCCCCGGCATCTTCTCCTCTCCCATTGCAATTTTTAGCAGCTTGTAGCGCTTGAAGGCGCTCCGCATCCGCCCGCTCCATTCCTCATAGTTGGAGCCATCCAAAGCTTCAATCTTGGATGGTGGCGGCTCACTCCTCTTCTCAGCTGCATCTCCACTCCCTTGATTCATCTCCTCTGCTCCCAATCAGAGGTTTCAGCTCCCCCTTTTGCTGGTCACAATGTAGATCCACACAATCTTCACAAGTGTCAGCGCCAACGAAATTTCGGCAGAGTTTCCCCTTAGCGGAAGTCACATCCAACCTCCAGAACTCCACTTAGGCACGCCCACAGGCCATGGTGGGTCTAGGAGGGTCTTCACACTTCAGTAGACTCCC